GCGAGTACAGAATCCGGCAATGGCGTGAATTTTTCAGCCCGCGGATTCCGTTGTTTCCGATTCCTGGCATCACCTACTTCTGGAACATTTTTCCATTCTTCTTCGGTTACATTTACCAATTCCCTTTTCAAATCAGAGAACTGCTGTTGAATTTTAGGACGTTCTTGACGATACCTTTCTAGTTCCTCTCTGAGCCTCTTTTCTCTATATTCTTTACGTTTTTCATCCATTCGCTTGTCAATAGCTTCGTAAATGGCGTCTGCTTCTTCATCGTCTTTATCATATGGGTCCTGAAAAGAATTCGATTCATATGCTGTAACAGTTGCTTCCAGTTGCTTTTTGGTCAGTCTGCCATAGAAAGATGGTTATACATATACAAATATACAGTAAGCAAGCATCTGTATACATGAGCATATCTTAATGTTATTTTTGACAAGCTGTATAATATTGGGTAAATTAGAGAATTCATGTATCAATTGTCAATGATAGGTAGTGACAAACACACAACTATTGAAGTTTTGTAACAAAGTTTAAGGCCGATTGCACACGGGTACAACCGATGAGTTTCAAACCACTCTGAAACTAGTTGTATGCGACCATGGATCTAGGTAAAACAAAGTAGTAGGTAAAACAAAGAGCGCAAACGGTTTGCAACTAATTATCTAATTTCAAATCAGTTGCGCCGTATGCGATCGGGCTAAGTTGTTTAAACACTTGAATTCTAAGAATATTTCTACTTTACTTTACTGAAAAGCGAGCCCCCGTATCCAGAAAATTCATCGTAATTGGAATCATTCAAGTCTTCTTCATCTTCTTCCTCTTCTTCCTTCTTTTTTGTTCGTTTTGTAGGTGGAGCATGTCTATCATCCCTGTAAACAAAGTATAAAATGACATGGAACTTTTTTACTAAATGTAAAGATAATTTGGGAACTACTACACAGAATACTTACGAGACATCGTTAGCATCTCGAGCTGGACCGATATCAGATCTAGTTGTGAATCCGGTAGCTCTGAAAATTTACGTATTAAGTCATCAAATTAATGTTTCACTTTACCGATGGAGGTTAGATCAATTAAACAACATTTCTTCGTTTATATTACCCTCTTCCGACACCAGCAACGTATCCTAAGGGCGCCGGTACACCCAAGAAATGTTTCTTGTTTCTGGTTGACAACGAAACTGACGATGGAACTGACATTTTTGTTTACCGTCTACAAATCGACGTAAACAGAAAGACGAAATACTGATACTAACTACTACCTGCTACTAACCAATCATAACCAATACCAAATTACCAACTGAATAACTAATACTGTCACCAGGGAATTCACGGATAGATTGGATCGGCATCTCACGGGGTTTTACTATAGCCCTCTGACAGCGTCACAAGTGACACAGCTTAGAACTAAATAGAGCCCCGCTGGAAGGCAAGTATGGAGGGAAATTTAATTTAATTTAGACTACTTTTTGTACTGTGTAGATATGAATTATATTATAGTATAATATTCTAAATTATACAATGTGGGAAATTATAACCCAATTAATCAGATCCACTCAGGACCGGCGTTATGGGGAGGCGCGGTCGGGCAACCGCCCGGGGCGCCAGATTTTTGGAGGCGTCGCAATCCGGTGTAGATTAGTAAAGCTGCTATATATTGTAGTTTAACAATCTTTACAATCTAGCTACAGATTCATCGTTTGATATTATTACCTTATCTTCTTTTCTTAAAAATTTTAAGCCTCTGAAGAGGAGCCACGATAATCTTGCCCGGGGCGCCAATACTGCTAAAACCGGCCCTGGTCATCCACTAGTCATCTTTTCATTTACGCACAGTATAGTGCGCAGGAGACAAACTGGCGCCACCAACGGAAAGGAGTTGAACTACTAGATAGTTTTTCCCGTTTTTTTCAGGCACAATAATGAAAAAAACATATAATAATTATGCATTTCGTAATCAGGGGAAGTGAATCTATCGTCTCGTCATGCGTTTTCTGGAAAAAATTGAAAAAAAAAAATATTTGGCATTGAACGTATTTCTAGCATGTTTTAAAAGCGAAATTGCAAAACGTGTAACTATCCTCCGCAGTGGAATTTTATAAGGAACAGTATAAAAAAAAAATTAGACGGAAAGGTCGCTTCCTCGCCTCATAAAATTACAATGGTGTTGTCGTTATGAAATCGAGAAGACTGATGCGCTTGCACAATGGCTTGAGTACCACACTCTCCACCACAGCACGCCACAGCGCTGGTGTCGTCTCTCCTGCTGCTGGTGTGCCGAGAATCTAAAAATGCCTTTCAGCATGGTTCAGTACCGTACTAAAAGTATGAAGCGCCCGAGCTTATATATTTTACTTTTGCATATGTATATATATTCAATATTATATTGTTAAGAAACGTCATATATATGTTAAGGTTGTTTATATTACATTGCAATTGATTGATACAGAATAGTCTGTTACGATAATTTCAAAGAAGTAAATAATAAAAAACTGATATGATATTTATAATATGGTACGAAAATAATAAAGTACTAATTGTTATTTGTGCTGTACTTGTTTCTATTTGTATAATGAATTTCAATATATTTATCTCTATTCTACATATATATGCTTGGTACACATCATGGCTATCAAAAAATCGAGTACATTTCATTAACGTAAATCAGGCAGTATTCCCAGTAGAATTAAATAAACAATTTTGCAGTTGTGAATCTAAAGCATTCATTCGATGTACATGGTGATTAAAATTTTTGTTTCCACTGCTTTTTCGAAAATTATCACCCAAGTTCATGTACATCATACATTCAAAATGGAAATTGTTTGTTTTAAAAAATATATCCGCATATTAGTTATAAATAAGTCATATTTAACGAATGTATTTTTAAAAAAAAGGGAAAAAAAAAAGATAATGTAAGAATGTTTCAACGGGACTCGAACTCGCGACAGAGAAATTATTATGTCGATGTTTTACTGACTATGCCGAATTCGCTATTGACAGAGTCGCTTATAATTCACCAAGTAAGCAGCAATAATAACTTTAATGTTGAATATCTCGTAAATTATAAATCGTCTGCCCCCAAAATTGAATATAATTCGCTTCAGTTTTCCACTGTGCAAAGGCTCATCAAAAAATTAGCGTCATATCTGGGCCCGTTCCCTTGTTAGTCTCTCTTTCTTCTTCATCAAACTGTCTCTTTCTACTTCGTCGAAGCTTTCAAACTTTGGACGGATTCGAAGCTTATCGAAATATTTGGTTACACATACAATGTACGTAGGTATAATAACCAGCCGAGGTGTCGATTCTAAGTTTACATGCGGCTCCAGGCGAGCGTGAACATAGAAAGACAATACTAATGTAACAATAAAACTTTTTTATTTATTGATTTTTTTAAATCTAACTTTTTCCAATGTATTTGTAAGATTTTCATGATTACAATGAGACCAAACACGATATACATACAGCGAAACAGGAAAGTATTCGGTTATTTGTTTGTATTTTATATTTCATATTACCTCTTATACCAAAATTTTTTTTTTATAAATTATACAAGATGTTTGGCAACCGAACAAAATATAAAATAGGAATAAAAAAAATACACAGCAGCTTGGGATCGAACTAGCGATATCTTATGTACGATACTACGATTAGTTACCAGCTGAACCGAGTTTTTTTGCCAGAGTGACCGTTAACAGTGTCGTATCCAGGGTAACAGGTGTGGGGTGCTATAGCTATTGTGGCTATGAGCGCGAAATCATGAATATATTTGTCCTTATTATTTATATATTGTCTATAATTATGTATTGTCTTTATATATTGTCCTACATTTGTCCATAAATCATGAATATATTTGAAAAATTATGCAGAGGTAATTAAGATACACCTTTTTAGTCATGCGTATACTTCATTGATGCTATGTTCACTGCGCGTGCGCGAAAAAACCCGGCCCGACTACGATACCTGCAAACCAAGTCGAAAAGCGTGTTTAGATGGTCGACACGGTAACAGAAAGGAAGACGACGACAGCGCTGAAGTGGAAAGCACGATATTAAGGTAGCCATGTTGGCATATGAATCGTCTCAATCGTAGCGACACCACCAATGTAATTTTACGAGGCGAGGAAGCAACCTTTTTGACTGATTTTGACTGATTTTTTTTTTAAACTGTTCCTTGTAAAATGCTGTTGCGGGGGATAGTTACAGATTTTTGGAAAAAGACCCACAAAAAATTTCTTGTCTTTGAACGTATTTTTAGCACGTTTCAAAAGCGAATTGCAAAATGTGTAACTATCCCCCGCAACGGTATTTTATAAGGAACAGTTAAAACAAAAATCAGTCGGAAAGGTCGCTTCCTCGCCTCATAAAATTACAATAACTGTGTGGAAAATTGCAAACATTTGACATCATTCTGTCTTTGTCTCTCCTCCGATTGATGTATCTCCTTTTCTGTCACAGAGCTTCCTACTTTCTCCGCAACTGTCGCTGAAGTCAACTCGGAGTTTTGCTGGGTCTCCTGCGTACCCCAAACAAAGTTTAACTTATACATTCATTGTAACCATTGGTAGATTATGAAAAGGAATAAACTATAACAAAAAATTAGATATTCAAAGTGCTGAAATTCTAAAAATTTAGTTTCAAACATATAACCATATTATCAATTATAGTCCTATTTAAACTTCCCGCTATAAATTGGCAATGTAAGATGGCCGACGAACCTCCCTCCTTGGCTTCATACCGCACCATGTCGCTTGCTAGCCTATAATCGGTTTCTATACAGGGTGTAACAACATTTTTGGCACACCCAGTATATACCCCTGAAGGGGCGCCACGATAATCTTGCCCGGGGCGTCAATATTGCTAAAATCGATCCTGTCTGCGAGCTTACTATTTTTTCCGCATTTGTCGCTGAAGTCAACTCGGAGTTTGACTCTGGCTCCTGCGCATGTGCGCACCCTCAATCGCGACCTTGAACAATCATATGATCGTTTACGCAAAAATAGTTATCGCGCGGAACCGTACAGAATGATGTAAACCGATGGGTATTAGGGGGAACAGGTTCAGTAATGTTAGAAACAGAGTCATGCAGCGCCAATTGGCGCTGCATGACTTGACTAATTGTAAGAGGCCAGATATACTTTAGTTTTCAGTAATCAAGCGTACATGAATGAACGTTCCGTTCTTTCGTTTAGGAAATGACCGCAGCGCCGAGCGCGATCAACACCAAACCGTGAGCGTTTTTATAGTCGATCACGCGACACGCGTTTCTAAGAAATCATAGTTTCGTGTCTCCAACCGGCCGGCCACGTATTACTCGCAAGTAGATTCGAGTATTTCATATATTATTCTCTTCATCCCTGACTCGAGATTTATACTATTAAAGTACAACTGTCCTGTGTTACACACTTTTACACGATGTTTGTTTAGTCAGATCAATCTTACGTGTAACAAGTATTTCAATTCATTGAAACATTTTTAACGTTTCATTTTTTTTATTTATTTGAAAAATTGTCTCTTATTTTGCAATTGAAATTCATTTTTAAGTACATGAAACGTATTACTTAAGAATATAAAATATATTGTTGTCAATTACAATAGCATTAATATTAACTAAAATTGAGTATATTTACCATTATAATGTCACTCCAAACTGGACCTCTTATATATTTTAAGCATAAATCACCAAACGCATCTACCTTACTAGAAGTATTGAGGGATATTTATATGTTTACTATTACTAACATTATTTTTCTTTGTTATAATCGCTTGTATGAGTTGATTTGTAGTAGAGCTTATTTAATACTTTTAAAATTTACTTATTATACCAGATGAGTCTTCTAACATAACGAACTCAAATAACTCGTAAGGCATTCGTTGTGCGACAAAATGTTTCAAACAAAAGTTGCATTGTATTTAGGGGGATATACAGTGCTTTAATCTGTTTTTTATTATCTTACTTTTTTATCGAGATATTAGGGTCACTTTCAGTTTTTTAAATGGAATGTCTAATATTTCTTTCCGAATTCTGATAAATCATCAGATTTTGCATAAAAAAGTATTACACAAAGTGAGACTTCAAATGAATAATTACTGAGATATTTATAAAAGAAGTTTTATTTTAAGTGGTGTTCTAAGTGATGTCCATTACAGTACTTGCACTTACGCAATCGAATTATCACATGCACTAATAATACATTCTCGCATATTTTCTGCTGTCGTTGGTGATACATGATAAACTCGATTTTTTACTGACAACTTAAGAATGTAGAATGCAGTGGCTCATTTCGATCAGAATACTTTGCTTCGTATAAGATCTTAGCTCTTATAGCATTTTCTTCACATGCACCATAAAGAATTATCATATCCTATTTTTCATTGTTACTGAACATCGTAATAAAAATGTAGCACCTTTCTCAATACAACTTTAATGGTTACTGAGATACTAAATAGGCATTTCGTGTTGATGATTTCTAACATCTGACAGGAAACTTGTTTACAGACATGACCTGCCAACATAAACAAAGTGATGTTAAGAATCAGGTTGACTAAGCGTATTTTCTAATAGAAGATTATTAATTTGAAGATATCTCAGTAAATTATTCATTTGAAGTCCCACTTTGTGTAATACTTTTTTACGCAAAATTTGATGATTTATCCGAATTCGAACAAAAATATTAGACAAAAAACAGATTAGTGCACTGTATGTCCCCTAGATACCATGCAACTCTTGTTTGAAAGATTGTCATACAACGAATACCTTACAAGTTATTTAAGATCGTCATGTTAGAAGACTCATACTGTATAGTCAGCGTTGTAGAAATACTACTGTTTTTGTTTCTTTGTGATAAATTTAAAGCTAGCAATACTTAAATATTTACTGAAATGAAGGTAAAAGTCCTTAGGCACTTTGCATATCCAACTTCTGAATAGATATCACAACATGAATTTTCATGCTCAGTTTCAAATTGTTTTTATGAATTGATTTGCATTATATGTATTTGGTACTACTTCAATAACAATGCAATACTACTTTCATAACAATGTTATAAAATATTTTTAAGTGAAATAAAAAATATAACATTTTAAGTCATAAAATTGACAGAAAAGGAGCAAAAATTAATAATTATATTGGAGAACAATTGATTAAAGAATTTTGTCACACATATAGAAGATATACACTGTTGTTCCATATTTAATAAATGTACTGTATATAATAAATAAATAATAAAAGAGTATTTTCTATTCCTCGTATTTATTTTCAATAATTATATTACTGTTATTGTAGAATTTCCGTCAGAATTACTTTATATAGTCGAAACTAATAGCTACTCGAATATTTTGCAATGTATATACAATTGTACTTAACGAACAACTAAAAGTACAAAATTAGTCTTATTTGCAATAAAAAAAAAAAAAAATGTCCATGGTAACAATTAATCTTTAATATTTATTTTTCTGCTTATTCTAGTCTAGGTACTGAGTTTATAATTGGAGCATTAGCAGCTGTGGGAGCTGGTTTTTTCACAAATCCAATCGACGTAATCAAAGTACGCCTACAATTGCAGGGTGAATTAGAAGCACGAAATTCATATAACAAAATATATAAGAATACTTTGCATGCAGGCTATTTGATAGCAAAACATGAAGGCGTGCTTGCTTTGCAAGCTGGTATCGTACCTGCCCTTTATTTTCAAGTGGTACTTAATGGAATACGGTTAGGTGTCTACAATTCCGCTAAAAAGTATGACCTTATCACTAATAAAAAAGGGAATACCGATGTTCTCAGTACTGCAATTGTAACTGGAACTGCTGGGAGTATAGGAGCTGTACTTGGTAGTCCTTTCTACATGGTAACTCGCTACATTGTGCATACTCATTATTGAATAACAATACATAAATCCCAAGTAGAACTTCTGTTATCTGAATCCTGCTGCCTTCTTTTTTTATTTATTGTTTTGTAATTTTTTTTTTATTAAACAATGCATATAATGTTTAAATTAATGTACTAAATCACATCTCGTATTCTTTTTTTTATTAATCGTAATAGCTGAAAACACAATTACAATCACAATCGGCGCAAACAATAGCTGTTGGTTATCAACACAATCATTTGGGTACCTGGTATGCATTCAAGTCTTTATGGAAAGAAGGTGGAATAGTTGCTTTATATCGCGGTTGGTATGCTAACATACCACGCGTTTTTGTGGGTTCCGCAACACAACTAACCACCTTTGGTTTAGCCGCGGACTGGTTACGTTCGTTACAAGTGAGTATCCATTATAAAGTAATGGGAAAAAAATGTAACGTAAACTGGAATGTTTATGATTTCTTTCAGATACTACCAAATCAACCAATACTTTTGACCTTTCTTGCGTCCATGATCGGTGGAAGTTGCGTGGCACTTACTATGCAACCATTTGACGTTTTAGCAACAAGACTTTATAATCAACGTGAGTTCCGTTAATTCTATACTTATGCTAGAAATTAATCTTTGCTGATAGCACATTACACTACTAATTGAATCGTTCATTATGAAGATGATGTAAATTCATCTACTTAAAAAATGGAATTTCTGCAATGTTTGACAATTATGTCGATTTTCAATCAATATTTCTTCATGACTAAGCAACTTTGGTTATTAAACAGAATAAGGAATACATTCATTTAAAAAATAGTGTAAACCTATGAAGACAAATGATCTTATATTTTTGCAACATTATGAAAAATTATAAGGTCGTAATGGAATTCTTGTTGTACACACCACCCGTGCGCGATGATTATTTTAAAAATCTTAATCATACTTCATGTCGATTGAAACAAAGTAAGATGGATTAACACCATTTTCATAATAAACGGTTAAATTGTTCGATGAAGTTTCTTTTAAATACGACAAGTAAAAATACATAATACTTTTTGATTAATAAAAATACAGGGATAGATGCAGGCGGTAAAGGTTCGTTGTATAATGGTCTTTTAGACGCCATAATTAAAATATTCCGTAAAGAAGGACTGACTGGTTTGTACAAAGGAATCTTTCCAACATGGATGAGAATAGCACCGCACACTGTGCTGTGTTTAGTATTTTACGAGAAATTAGATCAGTTGTATTGTATGAGTAGATCGTAAATGTGTGATTGTAGGAAAGTATGTATGGAAAACCTACGAATAGTAATGCGGAATAACGTTATTCATTACCAGAACAAGTTGTACAGTACATTTCGAAGTCCATATTAATTTGTATCTTAATGTCATTGTACATACCGTATATCTAGGTTCTGAACATAGGGGAACAAAAGCTTTATAATGTTCAAACTAGTGTATAATGAATACCAGGTAAAAAAAAAATAAATTTTACTTTCTTACATGGGCAGTGATGTGTTAATAATTTAATAGCAATTACACGTTTAAAACCTTATGTTTACTTCACTATAAATTTACGATAATGTCCTCGTTTCCAACCCATCTGAATAAATTAAGAATACAGTACACATTTGTAAAAAGATTTACAGTAAATACTCTCTGGGAAGTCGATGTTATAGTAAGAGTTTAATATATATATATTTAAATATAATATATATTTAATATATATATTTAAATATAATATATATTTAATATATATATTTAAATATAATGTATATTTAATATATATACGAGAATATTCGTATAAAATTTACAAATCACTCATTTTAAATGTAATTATTTGTAGAAAAGTGGTAGAGAAAAATTATAGTGCACTGTATAATTATATGTTATTATACATATGTTATTATCCATATAATTATATGTATATTATGTAAAATTATAGTGTTCAATTTACGTTTCATTTGGTCTGGACTTAAAACCTTGACTTATGGATGACGCGATCTCCATCGTACTCCTACCTCTGGTCTCAGGTAAATATATCCTAAGTGCGTTAGTATTACATTAAGTCTTAAATCACTTGTTAATACAACTATATGATTATTTAATTCGTTATTACGTACCTAATAACTTGTCCTAAAATTAAAAGAAATCCAGCAAATATTAAGAAAGTGTATGCTCCTATAATCAGATCTATTATTGGAAACATCATTCCAACTAAAAAATTTCCACCCCAATTAAAGACACTGCCAAGTGCCATAGCTATTGGTCTGGGGCCAACGTCGAATAATTCAGATCCAATAAAGTATGGTATTGGACCGAGACCAATTCCATAAAATAACACATAAGCCAGTATAGATACTATACACACAAATGGCATACACGATGATACACGCTGCAAGAAGACAAATAATTATTATATAAACATATACATTCCTATATGTTGAAAGTTGTATCCGAATTCCTAATTTTGTTTTGTTATAAATTATTTTCACTTACAATTAATTGGATGGAAATACATAAAATCACCAAACATCCAAAACATAAATAATTACTACTAAGGAAGACACATCTCCTGTTTAAAGATGACATTACTGGTACAGAAACAAGAGCCATAACAATATTAATCACACCAGTTCCAAGAGTAGCATATTGCGCTCCAGCAGTACCAAGTCCAGCATCATGAAATATAGAGTTTGAATAGTAAAAAATAACATTTATACCACTCATTTGTTGTCCAAATTGTATTAGACAAACTAAAAATAAAGGGAGCCTCAAACTGGGATCCATCATTATGCGTTTGATAGTCCAAGGTTCAGATGTTGTTTTCTTCTCTATTTCTTGGTTTAAATTCGAAATTTCCGTTTGTAGAAGCATTGTGTCCATATTACGTATCCTCCTGAGTTCTAAAATATCGATGTAATTGATATGATTGCAAATATAGTTGCATTACTTATTATGATGATACTAGTAGACACTAACCGTCCAAAGCCTTTTGTTTCTGCTCTCTAATTATAAACAAATACTTGGGACTTTCTGGTAAAACAACAATTGTAAGTACTAAGGCACACACGCATAGCGGAATAAATAATCCTAACATAAATGGCCAAGAAGTTTCAGTTCCTAGAACTGTATCGAGTCCTGCAATTTGGCCTAAAAACACTCCACATGTAAGTCCTAATTGACAGAGGACGCCAACAGCACCTCTCAATCTGAGAGGTGCTATTTCTGCCATGTACATTGGTACTACACATGTAGCGACACCTCCAGAGAGACCTAAGAAAAATAGATGAATTTAAATGTAAACTTTTCATTTGTAAGCACTATCGGCATATTAAAACTTACCCACAATTAATCGACCTACTAAAAGTAGTTCAATTGAATTTAACAAACGCACTAAGAAAAACATTACAGCTCCTATAATGCCAAATATGTTTCCAATGTAAAGTGTCTTTTTTCTACCATATCTATCTGCTAACCAACTGGCAAGAAACGAGCCAGTTACACCACCAATAAGAAAAATTGAAACAACGACAGACCATATTACTCTTAGACCATTATCGGAAATATCGACATCGTATCTTTCTCTAATACTTTCATTGCAAAACCTTGTTATCAACTGCAATATACATATATACTTATAAAATTTCTTAACATGTTAGGCTAATTACTTAACTATCGTAAAAGATATACAAAATGAACCTGAAAGAAATACAGATTGGAAATTTGAATCGACTTTAATTTCCTCTTGAAAAGTAAGCTTAAAGAAAGGCAGCTATTTAAAATTTTGAGGTTTGAGGCTTCAGTATTAAATAGATATTATTTTATCTTGCAAAACGAACAGGGATAGTATTATAAAAATTAATTTGTCTTCATTGTATTCAGCAAGATCACTTTGTATCAGTCTTTGCAGAATTGAAGAAGCAATACTAACATGAACTGCATTATTTACTACTCCTATGTTAAATCCTGCTGGAACTGCTGATCCAAGGCAACTAGTAACACCTGCGAGAACGAGTATAATAGTCCAACCACCAGGTTCCTAAATGAAATCAATTTTAACATATATTTTTTGTATTTATCTGTAAAAGATATTTATGAATAAAAAGTTTAAGATTAAAATTAAATAACTAATTTTGTTTCTTTTGCGAAAGAAACTAGCCCTCCTTTAATTTCCACCTTTAATATTCAATAGTAGTGGTCAAATAGTAATATTCAAAGACTTAAATATTTAAAATTTAAAACAGTAAGTATTCAATTATTCAATTACTCTTAATTCTAGCTAAAATAATTATAATGTTAGTGAAATGTATAACTTAATTCCGATGCACAGATATAAAGTTGCATTTATGGATATTCATTTTTTTCATTCATTGTATACATTTATGATATCGCTACTCATACAGAAGAAAGAAACCACATGTAAAGATACTAAATTATATAAGACAACTACACTTAATCAAATATTGCTATATTTGACAAACATTTTGCCTACTTACTAATTTACATTCCTTGCTTAGGAACATACTGATCTTTTCATAAATACGAGTTCAAATAATGGAAATGCAAAAAATAGTCTGATAATCAGAAGTATGTTTAAATGACGTTATCATATAACTCTTCATAAATTTTCTTACATAAAAGTAGTTCGTCATCTAATGCAGACACTAAATTATGTGAGACAGTTGTGCTAAATCAAATACCATTATACTCAGCAAACTTGTATGACAATTTACATTTCTCGCGTAGAAATATTACAATTTCTTTCTAAATACGAGCTAAATAAAGAGTGAAAAATATTTTAGCAATGAAAATTATACTTCATCTTTCTATGAATTCTCTTACAGAGATATTTCATGAGGTTATACAAACATTCCAACAACCGAAAACATGAAATAAATAAACAGCTCAAGCTTTTGATTTATCGTTGTATCTATTTGTACTTGCCGATCTCTCATCATGATTGTTCGAGGTAGGTTGACGGGAAAGTTCAGCGTCTGTGACATCCGTGAGTACGGCTGTATGATTGCCTGCGATTAAGATCAACGATTAAATCGAAATATTTTTGTACAAATTTAAAAAAAAAAAATCCTACCCTTCTTGTTGGAATCGTAACACCTATCATAAAAGATACAATTGTTTTAAACAAATTTGGCCACGCGCATCTAGGTACGTAAATAATTTTTAATATCATAAAATATTATATTCGAAGGTACGACACAACAAACAAATATTTCAGGATGCCGTTAGATCGAATGAAATTCGAATAACGATGCAACAAATTTTCGACAAATATTACCTAACACCATGTTATGTACATTGGCTTAAAAAAAAAGCTTATCCATTCTATCCAAATGTGAAAGTGTGTTTCGATCTTTCCGATTGGTCAATACCGTTGTACGCGCAAGTTGATTAACTACAAGTCCTGTGTATTTTTAGTGATACTAGGTAATACGACAAGTTTTCTGAAGGTAGGTCCAGCACGTGTCACTGACATAAAGTTGAAAATCGAGACAGTAAATATAATACAAACCAGAATCAAGAAGTTGATGGCAATACGGACGCGTTGTTGTCGACATGTGGTTTTGTTATTGCACGAAAAAAACGGATCGACAAATCTTTCGATTCTCGTTGATTTACGCGAGTGTTTACTATCTCGGCCGTGATACAACCTGACTCTAATTGACTTTGTGCGAACAACCGAAAAATATATACATAGATACAAGTGAGTGTGCACGTTTACGTTATCATCGTGTGCCATTATTGAATCACCTTTCTTAAGGAAAGTAACGTGTGATCAGTCACGTGTGACCGGTAAGTATTCTTACAATACAATAGTACACACAATGCTTTAGTGTGGTTCCAATGATGTAATTTTTGTTATTTTGTTGAGAGTATTCGCGCCCTAACTGCACTTCTTCGAATTTTTCACTGTATTTTTTTATTTTAAATATAAACTCGATAAATTAAATCTACTGAATTATTACTCTATCCGTTATACTAACTTTTATAAATAATAATCGCAAGAGCAGATGCCTTGTGATAAACGATTGCGCGTGGGTGTTAGTTGGTCTATCGAGAAATGAATTTAAAGAGTTAAGATAAAATATCGCTATCACGGAAGAAAATGGGTAATGAATTCGGAACTCGCGTTTACTATTATAGTCGCGAGTTTGCGTTTACTATTATTATAAATAAATAAATGGTAATTAATTACCAGATAATGTATTGTCATGATGTAACTAAAATGTGGGGATTTGTCTATTCAATTGCATCATACCCAGGGCCGGTTGTAGGGCATGTTGTAACACCTTGAAAGGAGTGGTTCGGGAGGTGATTTGGAACAACTTTTTCCTTAGCAAAAATGTTGTCCGAGGTTTCGTTGAGGAGATATTAACGGAAAACACTGACCAATCAGAGCGCGAGTATGCCGATGGAGCGTAAGCTACGCGCTAGACGGCCGCGCTCATACGCTACCGCGAGCGCTCCACCAGCATACTCGCGCTCTGATTGGTCAGTGTTTTCCGTTAATATCTCCTCAAAGAAGCCACATTTTCGCTAAGGAAATAGTTGTTACCCTATACAGGGTGTCCCAAAAGTCGGGGAGGAGCCGGAAATGGGGGGTAGCTGAGACGATTCTGAACAACAATTTCCTTTGCAAAAATGTCGGTTGGGGCTTCGTTATGGAGATATTAAGCGAAAACCCCGACCAACGCCAGTCCTGATCATACCGATAGGCAATACATATACGCGTATGTAAACACTGAAATATGTAATTTGACCCGTGTAAGTTGGGTCAACACATGCAGGCATTATCTCGAATGAAGATATTCAATATGTCAATGAATGAAATATAACTGTGAAAATGATCGTATTATCACTGAGCTTCAAATAGGCTATGTAAGTAAATACAAATACAAATACTTTGTTCTTGTTATCTTTATTGTGCTAACAAATTAAGTCTTGGCTAGTATCTGGTTCAATATAAATAGACACTTGGGATTTTGATGCAAAATTAAAACTGTACAGTGGGAATAGTCCTGTACTCCCGAGTGGCTAGATGAATTTATTTCTGCTATAGTTCGATTTTCAGACTTGGCATGAATGAATTATTATATGAATATCAACTCTCGAGTTGTTAATTCGAATCGGTGACAAAATTCAGTTTGTGATGGAGAGTTTCAGGTTGAATAAACTCATTTTTATTATGTAAATATATTTATTAGAGTTAATAAAGAAAAATAATACACGTGAGAACGTCGAACATAAAACTTTTCTTAGATCATAAAACTGTGCCAACCTACCAACCTACTAAAACAAAAGAAACCTAAAACTAACTCTCGTGGATGATCAGTACTACCAACAGTTTGAGTATGAACAATAAAACTGCAGCAAATATGCCTTGAGTACTCGACGTTATTAAATTATTAGATTTTAGCAAAGGACACTTAGTCGAACTAGTAGTGTTGCCAAGGATATTCGTTTTGATGCAGAAAAATAACGTACTCTAACCCCGGGTCCACACTGCGCGAACACTGGTGCGCGTACATCGTTCGTGAACATGGTAGCTAACCCTGTTATTCATCGGTTTTCGCTGTAGTGTGGACGGGAAATAGCAAAGTTCGCTAACAAATGACGTAATGGCCCTCCTAATAGGCGTAAAGTCGTAAAAATAGCCTCGCTGGGTTAGGCGAAAACTGTGTTCGCGAACCAAATTCAGCGATCCACGAGGTGGTGGATCTCGCGAACACTTTCGGGAAAAACATTGCCTTTTTCCTCGTTCTTGTTCCTTTTCAAACCCCCGGAGCTTGGGTATTGCTATTATTTCCAACTGTGGGGCTGGTCTTTATGACCACCCGCAGGTAGGTACATACTCCAAAGGGATGATATGCGTGACCGAAGTTAACATTCTTTTCTTATTACTCATCCAAGTTTGTATATTTTTTATCCGACTTCGAAAAGGAGGAGGTTACTCAATTCGACATGTATTTTTTTTTTTTTTTTAAATGTCTGTTCACCGATTACGCCGAGATGGCTTGACCGATCGGAACGAATCCTGTTGCATCTTGTAGAGCATGCCCCCCCCCCCCGCCGGTGGTTCCATTCTTACGACTTTTTGCGATTTGTCATATTTTACCCGTCTTTTTATTAAAAAACCGTGATTTTTAGGTATGCTTGCCGATTACGTCGAGATGGCTTGAGGAATCGGAGTGAAACCATTTGCATCTTGTCGAATATTTCTTTCAGTTGGTCGCGTAAAAAAAAACATTTTGTGATTTGTCATTTTTTACCAGTTTTTTTTTTAAAACAGAAAAATTTTGTCTTGCTTCTTACTCCGAGACGGATGGACCAATCAGATTGAAACTTCTTGCATCTAGAAGAGCATTTGCCACTTGGTCCCATAATAAAACATTTGTCCTTAGTTTGTTTTTTACCACTTTATATCACTTTTTATCGCAAAGAGCGTACTATTTCACGTATGTTTGGCCTGAAATCGATGAAATCCCTTACATTTTGCTGCTGTACAGGTTTTCGCGATGATCAAATTTCCAAAAATTTATGAATTTTTTAATTGTTTATAACTATTGCTATTGCAAAATTCCTTGTCTTTGCTGAAACTCGGCACGGAATTAACCGATCGAAATAGAATTTTCCGCATTTCATGATAGATGAATTTGTGATGTTCCCATTTGCAAAAATGTATGGACGCTTCCATTGTTTGAAACCATTGTTGGTGCAAAATTGCTATGCTCTGGTGTAGCTCAATAAGAAATTTACCAAACGCAATCAATCCTTTTACATATATTCCTGATAATCCCATTTGTAACAATACAGGGTGTCCCAAAAATGTTGGATGATGAAATGAGGGGGTTGATTTGAAACAATTTTTCGAGGCTTCGTTAAGGAGATATTGACAGAAACCTCCGACCACTCAGAGCGCGAGTATGCCGGTGGAGCGCCTGCGGTAGCGTAGGCTTCGCAGGCGCTGCACCGACATACTCGCGCTTTGATTGGTCGGGGGTTTTTGTTTCTGGAATATCTCCTTAACGAAGCCTCGAACACCATTCTTGCTAAGGAAAAATTGTTTCAAATCGTCCCACCCCCCGGAACCACCACTCTTTCCAAGGACCTCCAACGTTTTTGGGTCATCCTGTATATTGCTCATAACTATTGTTATTGCATGAAACCTATTGGTTATAGATTGCCACTAAAAAGAGTGAAATAAAATAATTTTTTGGAAAAAATTTAACCGACTTCGAAAAAGGTGCAGTGAAAAGCATGAAATAATTTCTAGTTAATTTATATGAATACGCACTAGCTCTAGATATAATTGCTTAAAAGTATGGAAAAATGCAGTGAAAAGTGTGAAATAATTTTTATTTAAACTTCATTGTTATTCACCGTCGTTTGATGAATTTGGTTAAATTATTCAATACATTATATTAAATGCAATGCACATTTTTCGGAGGCGGCGCATAATGTAAAATTACTGTTCTAGCGAATTATCGAGGACTGTCTGGATTCCAAAAAGATCGATATACGTCAACACGATTTGCCTGTCTCTCTGTCTTCTGTCTCTCTGACAATGTTGGCCACCACGGAGAGCTACGTGGTGCGGAGAGACCTAAATGCTTGGAAATTTTAGCGTTCAAATTGTTCTCCGAAGATGGGAATACATAGAGTGTCACCGCTGACATACGTCACGTAATCGTCATCGACGCGTACGAGAAATATGTTACAAAGCTTCGTGCTTCGTCTGTTTCGAACTGCGAGACTTTTTGACTTTCTTGTGATTCACCAGTTTCACATAAAAATCTTTGTTTCCTTTAGACATCGGTATTTGCTTCGTCTGCGAACTGGGAAATTTCTTACGTTAATTCTGTCAATTCGACAAAATTCTGTTCGAGCAAAAATACCGAACAACTACCTACAGACAAAAGTACCAATTTTGGTTTAACTATCTGTCGAAGGAACAAAAAATATGAACTGTAATTATTGCTATTATACGTATTCATATTCATACAGTATTTCCATGGGGAGAGTTTATACATCAGCAGTAATCAATTTTGCCGCCCCTCCTCTCCAAAAAAGCCCCAAATCTACTCAAACTATATTTCCGTGTACATACTATATACATTAAGTATTAATTCCACATAGACAATAAATATGTATACATTGACAGCATTCAATATTGCCGCCTCTACCAAAAGCTAACCCAAAGTGCAATTAAAAATTTTTTACATCTGCGCCGCCTCCGAAAAATGTGCATTGCATTTAATATAATGTATTGAATAATTTAACCAAATTCATCAAACGACGGTGAATAACAATGAAGTTTAAATAAAAATTATTTCACACTTTTCACTGCATTTTTCCATACTTTTAAGCAATTATATCTAGAGCTAGTGCGTATTCATATAAATTAACTAGAAATTATTTCATGCTTTTCACTGCACCTTTTTCGAAGTCAGTTAAATTTTTTTCCAAAAAATTATTTTATTGTTGTATCTTGATGAAAGTATATGCAATATATTGGCGAGATTTTTCTGATAAAAATGGCACCAAACACAATGCAATTCAGACAACTTTAAGTTTCGTTTACAATACGCAATATTTTTATAATATTAATACTTGATTTTGTGAGCCAGTAATCGATTAGAAAGTCTCTTCGAAAAAAGGAAACAGATTGTAAAATTCTTGCCAGGAGATAATTAGGGCCTATGAAAAAACTAGGTAACTTTTGTAGCTATGTGAACCTGATACCCGACTTTTCAAAAATTCATTTTTTTTTATGGAAAATAATAGTATTTCGTTTGTACTTGATTGTACCATCAATCGTTTCGTTTGTACCTTCATCAATTAATAAATAAAAAAAATAAAAAAAAAAGACAAGCACCCGACATTGAGATTTTTGAAATCGGGTTTTTCCCTATTCTTTAGAATCGTTTGTACCCGTTTGTATCGCTTTTCGTTTCGTTTGTACCTCAACAGTTTATGATTTATAACCAATTGTTTATACACGCAAGGGGAGAGTTCGTCATTCATTAATTCTGCGTATTTCTGAAGAACTCATTTTGAAGTGGAAACGTAAGGGAATGAGACTGAATTGTTTTAAAAATTAAAGTTACAGGCACAGAGGAAGAACAGATTAAAAAAATTTTAAAAATTAATTTACTCCTTTTTTACGCGTACAACAATTGGCTGTAAAATTTAAACTAGTGAAGTATAAACAAAGTGAAAAAACAGATTACAAAAATCTCAATGTCGGATGCTAGGTGATTTTTTTTTTATTTTTTTTTATTTATTAATTGATGAAGGTACAAACGAAACTATTAATGGTTCAATGAAGTACAAACGAAATGCTATTATTTTCCATAAACGAATGAATTTTTGAAAAGTCGGGTATCAGCTTCACATAGCTAACTTTTTTAAGACGTGAAGCTGACAAGGGACGTAAAATTGTATTTTAAAAAATATTAATAGGCAAACATACTGTCTTAAAAAAAAAGGTCAACGAACATTTCTTGAAGAATAGTATGTGTAATATATATAGGCTGTAACAAAATCTATTACTTATTATAAGTGAAACTCAAAATTGTCTGAATTGCGTCGTGTTTGATATCATTTTTATCAGAAAAATCTCGTCAATATATTGCATATATTTTCATCAAGATACAACAAAAAAAGCATAAAAACTTGGATGAATATTAAGGAACTAATATTATCTATGGTCACCCATATTATCCCTTTGGAGTATCCGCCGGCGGGTGGTCGTAAACGGCGTTTGCTTTCGAGCATTTCCAACCATGGAGAAGATGCGGATCGCCCGAATCCACAAAATAACATGTTTCACAGGAGTACGAACATCGTAGATGCTAAAGCCATGTTATTATGTGTAGTTTATGAAAAGTGCGCGTTCAGTAAAGTGTACATTGTAAAAGTATTTATGATACGTAATACGAGGAGAAAAATGTTGCAAAATCTAACAATACTAACGTCACTAGCTAAGAAACAGATGTACCGTTGTGCGTAAACTAGATGCGCGGGAGACTGTCGACGGTTGCACGGAATGCTTTACGCGGTGTTTGCTCTTGACCAATCTTTACTGGTGGCAATGGCTTTCCAAAAATGTTAGGAAAAGTTCTGCATTGTCTAGTCCATCACTTCGGAGAACCATCCAGTGGAAAAGAATTAACTTCTATAAAAGTAATTATTGAAATAATGTTATTCTGACTTTCTCATATCCTCACAAAAGTGCTATAGTTAGGCGAAAACAGTGCTGCGCTACACTTGATTTACTACATGACAATGTTAAACGAAACTACTTATGGATAATCATAAATAATATGTGTTAATTGTTTTGTACGTACTTTTGTAGTCAACCATGTCCTCGATTTATCACTGTGAGAACGCTGACACAGCAATCTACGCGAAGAAACAAATTTTTTTTAAATACCTTAGCTATATTTGTACTTATGTTAGAATCGAATGTTTACGATTGAAACAGACAGTTGACTACGTGTCACTAGCACTTGCCAGAGTCATGAATGACATGATTCAATTATTGAAATTTATCGATCGATCAGTATTTTGAGCTCTCGATAATTTGAGTAATTTTAATAGGAAACTACCATTAACGATGCACTCAGAAGCAGTGCCGGTTTTAGCAATATTGGTGCCTTGGGCAAGATTATCGTGGCGCCCATTCGGGGATTACAATTTTTAAGAAAAAAGAACAAAGGAATAATATCAAACGATGAATCTGTATTTAGATTGTAAAAATTGTTAAACCACATAACACAGAAGAGACAATGAGACAATAATGGTATATTCGCATACCAGGGACACCGGGCCGCGGCGCCCTCCACAAATCTAGCGCCCCGGGCGCGCCACCCCCTAACGTCGGCCCTGCTCAGAAGACCCTTTTTCTTCTCGACTATGTTTACACAGTATCACACGTGCAAAGGGTCGTAACGTCATTACCTTTGTTCTCTGGCGCTGTATTCACATTCTAAATTCTTCTTAAATTACAGTTAACGGTTATACACTTAATGAGGCCAAACGAATTATGAAAAGGCTCGTGTTTATATAATAAATGTAATATTCGCGTTGTATCGCAAAATTTGTTTACAAAGCCAGGGACCGATCGAGACTTATCAGGGACTAAGGGTCCTTTCTTTTCTAGAATGTTTCATGAAAGTTAACCCCTTAACCTACGATTTCCGTTCCAACAGTCTGGGCCCAAAATGTAAACAAGATCGCTCAGCCTTTGAGCCATTCCGCGGTTTGGTAAATCGGACCTAAGGTGTACCAACCGTGCACTACTGTATGTGTAATATACAATTGGTTTAATTTTGTGAAATATTTGATAAGTAATTATAACCTGATGTATAATAATAATTGTGGTAGATATAATACTACAAAAGGTTTATTATCAATTAATAAAATATAACATAAATCGAAAACATAATAAGCATTTATACAAAAGTCAATAATAAAAAATTAGCAACCAAGAATAACATGTAACTGATTGTGATCACATTACAAATCGCGACCTTCGTACTACGGGCCATGCTCGTAATGTTTACGATTGGCGCGACCAATGTACTACAGGCCAAGACCGTAATATTTACAATTGGCCCAAATACAAGACTACGAGTCCCGCACGTACTTATAGGTTAAGGGATTAAATGTTGATGTTATTACAAAAATATCATTTTAGCTTGATTCTTGCTTGTGAAAAACGAATATAATAATTCTTCCTTTGCGCGTTCCTAATTGTATTTTTAAATCTTTACGTAGTTAAGAAAGAAAGTAATACAGGGTGTCCGAAAAATGTTGTAATACCTTTGAAAGGGGTGGTTCGGGTGGTGATTTGAAACAACTTTTTCCTTAGCGAAAATATTGTCCGAGGCTTCGTTAAGGAGATATTAACGGAAAACACTGACCAATCAGAACGCGCGTATACCGATGTAACGCCCGCGGTAGCGAAGACTACGCACTAAGCGACCGCGGTCATACGCTATCGTGGGCGCTCCACCGGCATACTCGCGCTCTGATTGGTCGGCCGTCTAGCGCGTAGCCTACGCTACCGCGGCCGCTACATCGGTATCCGCGTGCTCTGATTGGTCAGTGTTTTCCGTTAATATCTCCTTAACGAAGCCTCGGACAATATTTTCGCTAAGGAAAAAGTTGTTTCAAATCACCACCCGAACCACCCCTTTCAACGACTTCCAACTTTTTTGGGAGACCCTGCATCTATACACGTTGTCTCATACCGTATAACGGACAACGGCGAAAGTTTAGAACATTATCGTAAATTAGAACGGTATTTAATCATTGGAAAATGAAATGGTTGATTTTATATGGAAATTTTCAATGCTTTTATCTTATTTATTACATTGTAGATAAAATTTTTTTATTAAAATAAATACCAACAGTGCGTGATAATTTACATACATACATTCATTATTCGGATACATTTTAGCGAATAATTATTAAACAATATAAAATATGGTAACAAAAATCAACACAAAAAGTAATAAAATGGTAAAAGTATAAACAGTGTACGTATGTCGTAGAAATAGGAAGAAAATTAAACTTTGTAAAATTGATCATTCATAAGTAATAGAAATTTTCATGTAGAAAGCTTGATCATTTGTATATATATTCATGTACCACCCAAAAGATTTATAACTTTAATTTAAAAAAAGTACTGATTCAATTTCCGATTGTCTTAAGAATCAAGAATAAGATAAATGAACAAGTAAGACAAGAATTTTATTTAGGTACAAATTTCGAGTAATTAGTTAAATATGAACTCGTACTCGTACTTAAATAAGTACTCGTTACTTATTTAATAAAATTTAAATTTTGCATCAAACTATCAAGTTGCATTTTACGTTGACGGAGTAAAACATTATGTATGTAACTAATCGATCGAAAAAATATCGCGAATGAATTTAGTTTTATTTATTCTATAGTATTCAAAATAAAATTCTGTTTATCACTAATGAGTGACACGTGATTAAACATTGTCACGGAATAGTATTACGCCATATCGCTCGACTAACACCGGCTTGCCGCATAACTTTGCATGTGTAAGTTGAATTCCGCAACAGTGTCAAGAAATAAACAAATTCAATAAACATGTTTTGTCCAGTTTTAAAAATTTCCTTATTTTTGTTTCTTTGTCTCTTTATTAACTGTGTCTGCGGCAAATGTTGTAATCGGGTTTTATATTATCTTGGTTGCATCGTTTACAACTTAAATCCAACTTAAATTTAATTTAAGACAAATTCTTGAAAAATTTGTATTTATTTTGGAATAAAAAATAATTTATATTGTTATAAATCTTATTCTCTGGATGTTTATTTTTTATTCGTTATGCGAAGCTTTCATGTGAAATAAGAATTTGGACAGGGGATAGTGACAATAAAAACGAGTAATGATACAAATGTTAAATATTTGGTGCAATTAGAAATAAAAATCTTTAAAGCGCTTTCTTCAGAAATATACACGATTAATTCAAATTGAAGAATGAAAATGACACTAAAATTTTGTAAGAAAACATGATTAAAAATATGAATAATTATTACAGTAATAATAATTGACGATTATTATAATAGTATGATATTGTGGATTATATACGCGTAAATATTTTTTCATAACCATACCAAATATTTTAAGATGAAACTAACAAAATAATAACTTAAGCAATGTGGAATATAGGATTACTTACTATTCGTTTTCGTCGGACGTGTTTAGTCCCAGAATGCACAACCACTTCGTCACGTTACTTACCGAGTAATACTTCGCCGCTGGAAGTGAATTCAGAAGACACAACCCCCCACCAATGGTATCTGGTATGCCTCTCCATTCAACTTGGCATTACTCATTTCTTGTTCAGCGTAATTAATTCTAACCTTGTCAACCCATTTTCACAGGATATTTGCGCGAGAAAGAGGTAACTTTTACATGAACAGGGAGTCATTACTTCCTGCGCGTTGGCGTCGGGAGGAGAGATGGACGATGTAGGAGGGATCTAGTTATCATTATCAACAGTATCCGGCCAGGATAACAATGGAAAGGTGTTCGTTATAAACAAAGCAGAATATTTATTTTCTATTTATGGATCTAAGAATAATTTTTAAACTAGGTAGCGCAGCACAGAGGAGTAAGTTACATAAAGATAGTATAGATAGAATGCAGGGCCGGTTTTAAGAAAATTGTCGCCCCGGTCAAGATTATCGTGGCGCTCCTTCAGGGGTGTATACAGGGTGTCCCAAAACCGTTGTAACACCTTGAAAGGAGTGGTTCAGGAGGTGATTTCAAACAACTTTTTCCTTAGCGAAAATGTTGTCCGAGACTTCGTTGAGGAGATAGTAAGCAAAAACCCCGACCAATCAGAGCGCGAGTATGCCGGTTGAGCGTAGGCTACGCGAATACGCGGGCGCTCCAACGATATACGCGCGCTCTGATTTTCGGGGTTTTCTGTTAATATCTCCTTGACCAAGCCCTATCTGACATTTTTGCAAAGGAAAAAGTTGTTTCAAATCACCTCCTGAACCACCTCTTTCAATGTGTTACAATATTTTTGGGACACCCTGTATTAATCTTTTCTACTTGTATTACATAATTTCTGTTAGTATTAGTATTATTTAATAATAATATTATCATCATTTATATGTCTGTTAGCACCTCGGACAACATTTTCACTTAGGAAAAAGTTGTTTCAAATCACCTCCCGAATCATCCCTTTCAAAGTATTACAACATTTTTGGGACACCCTGTATATCGATATATTCGTATACCAGGGACACCGGACTGCGACGCCCCCAAAAATCTGGTTCCCCGTGCGGTTGCCCGACCGCGCCTCCTCCCCTAACGCCGGCCATGATAGAGTGAAAGAGCCAGATCTCTGGCTGTACTACAACTAAAAGAAAAAAGAAAATCGTCTCTATTTACCAGCGCATTTTTATGTCAACGGTAAATGGATATCGTTTGTACTTTTAATTATTATAGATATATTTTACATTCGCATTAATAAAAGCACAGAGATAGATAAACTGGCGCGGTCGTTTCTTTCTTTTTTTTTTTATTAAGCTTTGGACTCGATAATGATCCATAAACTGACAATTACAATTAAAGTATATTACATTTTCATTTACATTTTACATTACAATACAGTTACAAATCGTGTACAGGAAAGTAGAGTTGTGGGTGTGTAGGTATAGTGTTTGTTTAATGGAGTTGTGAACTGATGGGTAGAGTGATTTCGATTTTGGTAACGGTTATATGTTAAGGTTGTTGGTTTGCAGAAACTTAGTTATTATTTTCACTGCTGTGATATTGGGTCCTTGGAGAAAAGGTTCTATGGAGTATGGAGGTCTCCATCCATGTTGAACCAGCGAGGTGATCATTTGTTGTCTGGTATTTAAGTATTTGGGACAGTCTCATAATATGTGGTTAAGCGTTTGTTTAGGATGACCGCACGAGCATTTACTATCCTTGATAATTCCTGTTCTTGCCAAGGACTCTGCTAGGTTGTAATGGTTAGACCTATGTCGTGTGACCCAGGAAGTGATGTACCTGAAAAGTCTGCAGTTTTGGAACTAGGGAGTTTTGTACTTACAGGTAGGCTTATGTCTCCCCTGCTCTATCTATAATATCTCTATGATAAACTGTCGTTTAATTAAATGAATGAGAATGGAGGTAAAAATGAGAGTTTTTATTGTAGAAAAGCATATATATATTATTTTGTATATTACTAGATTTATCAAGATTTAATCAAGATTTAATGTAGAGATATATTCACCTTGTGTCGTCTTAAATATTACATTTACATATCTCATTTAATAAATGTTCTCATTTCTGTATTTTACTTAAAAAATATTATACAAAACTTGCTACTTCAATTTTCACAAGTTTCGTAAATATTTAGTTTGTAAACAAAGTCCTTTTATATAATTTGTTACATTTAATGGATGTTATTAACGAATCAATCATTTAAAATTAATAAATGTAATATAAGTTTGAAAGAATTACAATAAACACAATGCATATTTTCTTGTCTCTATGTCTGGGGCACAGAAATTTCATAGGGATGCTTCTCAAAAAGCTATATTTAAGAGCATAAGACAAATTCTATGATAGTTATATTAACTGAATACATTTACAGTTCATGACTTGTATGTGGGTTATAGCGTAATGCTATCAGATACATTGCTGAGAAGCCAGACAGTAAAGTTTTTGTTGGAATTTCCTGAAAGCAAATATTTGTATAAACGGGGTGTCCCTTTACATTGCAATATTAGCAACCAAATACTACACAGTAACTCTACTAAAATTGAAGATTGCCAAGGCCAATGCAACAATTCCCTTACGTCTACTATCAATACCACGCTTGACTATAAAGGCAATTCAGACTTCGTCTACATTAGTGATTCAGGTGGACAATTGTTCAGTTATTTACTGGTAAAGTATTAGGTTGTCCCAAAAGTTTCTTCCGTGACTTGCACTCAGTTATTTTGTGCAGCAATGTTTATATAAATAGACAACCTAATTTCTTAGATGTTAATGTTGTAACAGCAGTGGAGCAAAATGAATCGTAAGCAATTCAATAACGTAACATTAGACATAAAATATTGTGTATGCATTACTTATTAATGAAATGGAAGAAACTTTTAGGACAACCTAAATTGGCTAATTAATCGGCAAAATATATTTCTACAAGACAATTAATCAAATATTTTGTTTTACAATCGTTACGATTAAGATTATTATTTCAATTTAAATTAATTTTTGAAATAATGAAATTAAAAGTGTTATGTTACAAAATACTGTTTAAAATTTATGCACTCCACGTCATACTTCTCACTAAAGACATTTATTATGGAGCCACTAGATAATATTAAAAACTTTTATGGTTAATTGTCTGATGATTTACCAGCTGTGAGTTGGTAAAATAAGAAACATATATTTTATCGGGAAAATGGAATCACTAGTACATATGTATAGTCTTAGGTCTATGAGATAATCATGCCTCTCACGATTAAACAGGATTTTACTCAGAAGTAGGTAATCCAACCGGAATAATTCATTGTTTTTCGTTTGTAATCTCATGTTGTATTAATAGTCGTATACTTCTAAAATACAGGTGTTCCATAAAAATGACTATATGTATAATTAACTACGTCAAACACACAGCGTACGTGCACACGTGAGATCGATGCAGATTGCTTTCCAGAGGGCCAGAAATAGGCAATATTCTCATCTGAATAAAAGTGCCGGATAACGAATTAACAAAAAAAGTAACATTTTATTGATTACTAGAATTATAAAATAAGAGTTTCTATTGCAAGATTAAATATTTTACCGATGATCGAATAAGAAGTTAAATAAAACACGAAAAAGAACAAAATCTCGAACTTCTTTGATAATAAAGAGCTACGAATAAAAAATTGATGAATGAAAAGACAAACAGGCAAACATAAAAAGAATTGAAAAGTCGACAAATTAAAAAATAGATGAAACTAAAGCATCGTCAAGCCAAAACAAAAAATTAAAAGAAAGTCAAAAATCAGTAAAACTGAAATTTAACTCCTCGATTAGATAAACATCACGAAAAGATCGTTGTACGTTGGTTTTACGCGTGACTGGTAATTATGAATAAACTTTGCCTATCTCTGCAGGAGATATTCCCTTTCTCTTGGACGAGAGACACTCTTGTTTATCTAACACGGAAAAATTGATGATAATTCGTGAAAATTTTCCATGGTGCGCGACGCTCGATACTGCATAGTCGATTCGTTATCTGTTTTTCTTTCGAGATGAACTTGAGGTACGTTACTTACGTAATTAGCTACTCTACTGTGACGAATAGAGCTATTGTAGAATACTGTATCTCCCGATTCGGCGTCTGGTAATACCCCGTTACGTCAATAACGAATAAACTTATTCAAGATATAAGAGGCCACAAATGTCGGTTTCCATTGGAATATATTTACTCGTTTTCGAATTTGAGCACGGGTTACCTGTTTATCAACAGTAGTGTACGTGTACATAAGTTGTATGACAGAGATGTTTAAATTTCTTATGTATACAAGAACATTGTAGGTAACGAATATAAAATAAATAATCATTTGTTGAATAAAAATTACAATTTGATTGATAAACAAAAATTATATACTGCGTTAAACGTTTAAAAGCTAAACGGTAAGCAAGACTTAATGGTACTTTAACCAAGTACCATTTGGTACCATTGTCAGAAGATGATAAGTAGCAACTGTAACCAACAATGGGTGCTTTCCAATTCCTGAACAAATACGAAAGTGTGATAAATTATAAAGCGCGATCCGGGCTGGTATTTTATCGTCTTTGAAAGGCAAACTTCAGATTTATTCGAAGCCTAGAATTTTGCCCATCACTGATTGGAAAGCACCCAGTTGCTTTTTACTTTTCTCTGACATTGTCTTTCATGCCGAATTGTGACACATTATACGTGTTATTTTTAATATTATATCTGAGAGAAACAAATAATTAAATAATGTAGGTAGGTTTCGCTACAAAAATCTCACAAACAACTATTACGATTACATGAAATATGCCTTAATAACACTTGCCTTTTCACGAGGTTAAATACTAAAAAGCTAAGAAATACGCTGATCAGGAGCTACAATAGTGCTGATGGTAGACAGTAGATTAGAAAATACTTTGTTCCAATTGAATCATGCACAATGCTACACTTTTTGCAATTCCATGTACAAAATTGTCAAGATTGGAAAGCACCCAATGATACAAGTTAAAGCACTCAACCACAGCCACCTATAGTACTAGCCGTACTGATGGTAAATCTGTCAATAACGCAGGAATCCAAGTTAGTATGGGATTTAGTATGGTTCAGTATGGTTTCGCAGGTGTAGTAAATTTTTAACTGTGTTTATTTGTACAGTTAAATGTAAATGAACTGTGATATTATGAAATAAGTAGGGTAGCGCAATAGAGAGCCGATTTGTTCTTTATTATGTTAATTATATTAATTAGTTTTGTGTGTGGCACAGTTACTTACTTAGTAGAATCTAAAATCTACCCTAGTCATAACCTTTTACATAGTTATTTTGTATTTTTCATTTTCATAGTAAGATTTTATAAATTAACAATGCCACTGCGTTGCTGCGTTCCTGGCTAAGGGAAAGTATGACGGCATTTTAAAATCTAATAATTACGTTCCTCTTTTTAAATTTCCGACAAATGGAGAATTTCAAACAAAGTGGATAACTGCTGCTCCCCTCAAATATTGGACACCTCCAAAATATACTGCAGTTAGTTCAGAATGATACTATAAAATATGAAGAAGTACCATCTTCTAACAATGTACATAAAAATGTTTTAGAAAGGCATCCAAGGCTTGGACAGAATGCAGTACCCTCTATTTTTCCTAATGTTCCAAGTTGTCTTATAAAGTCTGTGCTACCACCAAGAAATAATCGTGAAAGAAGTAGAGAAAGGGTCATTCAAAATCATGAATGTTTAGATTTTGATTAACAAGTAGAGTTTAATTATCAAATTCAAATTTTCTATACTGTGATTAATTCTTTAACACAAATACAGTTAGTTCTCATTTGATTATTACCTTATTTCAAGATTCAATATTCTATTGCTTCGTTTATCTTAGACTTTTATTTATTCAGATATTATAATTGTTACTTTTTCTTTTTAATTTTATTGTATATAGTGGGATGATAGACTTACTGGCAAACCATCTACATTTAAAAAGAGGCAATGCGTTACAGTAATACCTCTGGGGTGATGAGGAAATTCGCCATATTTTTTTTAAATACTATGAAAATTCTCTACCTAATCCAGACCCATAAAAAATTATATGGATTCCTAACATTCAAACTTGGATTTATGAATTCTAGGCAACAAAAACTGCTAAATGGTAAAAAAGAAGACAATAATTTTTAGTGCCCCGAAAGAAAGTTTAACCATTGCAACTGTGGTGTTGCTAAATTATTCAGAACGGCTAGTACAACAGGTGGCTGTGACTTAACTGTGCCTCAAGTGAATAGATTAACTGATTCTTGTTTGGAAAAAAACATGCCAATTTAACAATACTCACGTTGAAGAGTTCATTGGCGAAAAGTGATTAACGTCAATCGATGTCGAACAATGTTTACACTAACCATGTGGTTGAAAATGTAGTAAGAGTGGAAGAAGTATCGGGGAGTTTCTGGACAAAAGAAGGAGTAAGACAAGGCTATCCATTAAGTCTAATGCTGCTCGCGATATTTATATCGGATCTGGAGGAGGTATTGAGAAAAGGGCAAGCAGGAGGTATAGTCGTAGGGAAGGAAAAGGCTTGGTCGTTTGCATATGCTGATGATATAGTAATGATAGAGCAAAGAGCAGAAGAACAGGACGAGATGCTAAGAACACTAGAAAGATATTTAGATAAAAGAAAGTTATCTAAACACAAAAAAGTCAAAGGTAATGGTATTTAAAAAAGGAGGTGGGAGGGGAAAAGAACGAGTGTGGAGGTGGAAAGGAAAAGTTTTAGAGACGGTGAAAGAGTTTGTGTATTTGGGGGTGCACTTCCAAAGGAACGAAGATATGGCCAGGCATGTAAAAGAGAGAGTAAAGAAGGCGAATGTTGTAATCAGACAGGTATAATGGAATAGGAGAACGGAAGTTCAAAGGAGACTTTAGAAGAAGACTTCTAATGTTTGATAGTTTGGTGTTGGGAGTGATGCTATATGGGGCGGAGGTTTTTGGATGGAGGGAGAGGTCGGAGTTGGAAGGGGTACAAACAAAATATATAAGGTGGTGTCTAAGTTTGGATTTCTGTATACCAAAATACATGATCCTAGAGGGAACAAAAAGGGAGAAAATAAGAATCAGAACGGGGATAAAAGCTTTAAGATTTGAAGAGAAGATTAGGAATGGAGTCGGCAGGGAGCTGTTAAAGGAATGCCTGAAGGAAAAGGAGACAGCGGCGGAGAGTCGAGGAGTTAAGAGAAGGAGAGAGAGATGTAGTGAAAGAGGTAAGGGAGAGAGATATCCAAGTGCAAAAACAAGAGCAATAGAATAAGATAAGAGACGCAACATATAACAGCAGATATAAATACATTGTAACAGGACTACGGCCAGAGTATTTAAATAAAACAGGAAAGGGAGATAATCAGAAACTTATAGCTAGGATAAGGTATGGGAATTTAGAAGAGGGAAACAGATATTGGCTGAAAGAGGAGGAGAGGAAGTGCGGTTTGTGCAAATTGAAAAAGGGACGCCTCATAGAGGACTGCCAGGAGTTAGAAAGAGGAGAATTAAAAGAGGAAACGTTGGTAGAAGGGAGGGTGGATGAGAGGGTAGCAGAGTGAGTAAGAAAGATTGAGAAGAAGAGGAAGGAAAGGAACGGGCAGTAAAAAATGTAAAATAGAAAGAGACCAAAGTCAATGTTAAGGGTAGTTTAAGGATTCGATGTATGTAGATTAAGGGTTATTAATTTTAAGTTTAGTATGTAAGATATTGAGTATGGTGGTATGAGTGAGTGTGTACATGGTTTAGTGGATTGTAAATATTGTAATCCAAGTCCATTTCGTGGCTTAAAAGCTGGAATAAAAACTATATCTATTTATCACTAACCATGTGGTTTCCAAACCGTCTCCAGTACTTACCTCTATCTCCAAACTTTATAAAAATAGATTTACAAGGTATTGGAAAGACACTATTGTAAAAAAATATTAACAAATTTAGTTTTAGTGCCCCATAGTGGCGAAGTCATCGCGAGCGAAGAAATCGCTGCATCAGCCGATGTCTTCTTGAGCGATCAGAGATTTAGCAAGAACCGCGAAAGTAAAACGTAACGTTAATGGAAACTGCCATTTGTGAACCATTCGCGTGTTTGATGTTTTATCGAGGCATTCGCTTCTCTTTCAAGTATAGTCCATTCTAGGATCACGGTTTCCTCTGATTCCTTGATTGACTGCTGACAATAAGGGGTATCTACCGTAACCGCACCGCCCTCTGAAATCGTCCATGTCCAGAGACCACATCATCGCACCGCCGAGATTTAGGGTATTTATAAATTCAGCCTGGAAATATATATAAATTACTGATTAATAGAACACTTTATGCAGAGTGAATGGTAAAGTGAAGGTAGGTGAAAAGGTATAGCCGGATAAGGGGGTCAAAAGTGCCCTTGAGCCAAATTGATCAATGAACATATCACTTAATAGAGTGTTAAAAAAAAACCATTTGTAGCAAGTTTCAACCCCGTACCCTTACTGGAAGGGTAGATAGAGGGCAAAATGCGATTTACAGTTTAAGCTGTATATCTTTTGTTGTACTGTATCAAAAATTTTGAAAAAAATTACAGATGTTACACTTTATGGCGTACGTATTTGTGATTTTTTTCAGAATTTTTCACTGTAAAATGGATTTTTTTTTAAATTTGAGAAGTTTAAAAATAATTTTTGTTAATAGTAATTATAAAATGACCACGTTTATATTTTTACACTGTTAGTGTTTTGTTATGATTATTAATCTATAATTTTTTCAGATTTATGGAAGTGGTGCAACGATGTTGGAAAAATCAAAAACCAATATTTGTTTATATTATTACCTTAATTTTTGATGTGACCATGTTCATATTGTGACAGTTTTAATACCTTATTATCGTTATCAATATATAATTTTTTCAGATTTTTCCTTTCGTGAGTAGAAGAGTAATATTTTCGGGTTTTTGATATTTTTACTGCATTGAATGGCTATTATATACATGTTCAAAATAGTATGTATCAATATGTATCAAATAATATAAAACTTGAAACATTAGAAAAAATGTCGAAAAAGACCAATGAATACTTAATTTTTAGATGAGTCATTGTTGTGAATTTAGATATGCAAGGCTTATTCTATGGACTTGTTTTCTTTGCTATTGAAATTTTCAGTGAGTATTTTGTTATTTCGTTTATTTACGTTTATAGTCAGGGGAACTTTTAGTTCTCAAGGATTAACAGGAAATTCTGAGTTTTTTTGCTTGTGAATAGCAATTGACGTATCATAAACCAATGGAGTTGGATTTTCCTTGGAAAGGCCCAACGTAAGGTTGGGAAATATTCACAAAGTAAGGCTATTTTGAAGAGTCGTGCTGATATGGTCGGAACTGTTTATTTTATTGTATAAATTAAGATAAGTGAACATTGTTCAAATGAATACGGGAGAAAAGTCAAAACTTACATACGGAATTTGATAATTCATAACTAAACTGCGGAAGTTTATGCACGATAAATATGTGATATGCATATGCAAAATATGCATGAAAAATATCCAAAATATGCACGAAAAATTTGAATAATATGTAGTGTAAAAATATAAATGTGGTTATTTCATAATTTCTATTAAAAAAAAAATTTTTTAACTTTTCGAAGTTTTTAAAAATTCATTCTGCAGTCAAAAATTCTGAAAAAATTCACAAACATGTACGCCATAAAGTAGAATAACTGTAATTTTGTTCAAAATTTTTGATACAAGTACAATAAAAGTTATACAGCTTAAACTGTAAATTGCATTTTGCCTCGAACTACCCTTCCAGTAAGGGTACGGGGTTGAAACTTGCTACAAATGGTTTTTTTAAACACTCTATTAATTGATATGTTCATTGATCAATTTGGCTCAAGGGCACTTTTGACCCCCTTATCCGGCTATACCCTTTGATTGCTATTCAATCAACGATTTTCATAGTTCTTAAGGCGGAAGACACGGGTAATGCAACGAGGTGACATTACCCGCAAAAATAGGCGAAAAAAGGGGTCCGGGACCCCTTTTCGTTTTTCGTTCTTGCAATAGGCCATCTTTGAAGCTATCATAGATAGAAGAAAATTTTGTAAGAAAAAGTTTCATTGGTTTTCTATTTGCATATAAAATCTGACCCTAAATTTTGTAAAAAAAATAATTTGTTTATAACATTATTTTAAAAGTAATCACAGTTTATATAATAACTAACAAAAACAAAGTCTAATTCGACACATTTTTTCTATCGCCAAAAGTAAGCGAATTACTCAGGTGGCCTGTTTGTCTCACCCTGTATAATGTACATACATATTGTACAATTTATTGAAGGGTCCCGAAGCATATAGAGAAAACAATGAACATCAAGAAATGGTCATTCAGTGGCGACTTTTTAACTTTACAGAAAATATAAAGCACATTGCTAAAACAGTAATAAGATAAAACAAATAAAAAGAAATATGTGACTCGTATTGTTATAGTGTATATGTTTGATGTAAGATCTGAAACAACGAAAATCTTTAAATGCTCAGCATAAGGAGAATCGTTTATAATTTACACAAAGCTGTGTTCAGTGGAAAAAGAATTGGAGGACTGTATTCTGTATTCTAATAAAAAAGTATAATTTAGATAGTTCCAATGAATGAAACTACTATGTTCATGATTTCAGGACAGAAAATATATTTTCAAGTTATCGCTGAATAAGTGGTGGCAGTGTCATGATATGGACTGGAATGAGGATGCATAACAAAAACGATACATATAAGAAGTAATATTCTTGATTGTGGTTTGGTCAATCCAATAATTTAAGTAGTTTGATACTTTCAACCTAAGTTTTACTATGTTATTTGTTGTAGTAACGCACAACAAATAAATATAACAAAAATATTAGCGGGCACAAATGAGTTTTCTTGAAATATATCTAAAACAGAAGAATAATTTTTCTGTTTTAGTCTAAATAATCTTTGTATTGTATTAAAAATTTATTTTACTAAAGTTGTGAAACAGATGAAATTCTGTTTGTATAATTTACGGAATTATTAGGTTGTCCCAAAAGTATCTTTCGCAACTTACGCACAATTGTTTTGTCTGGCAGTGTATATATAAATAAACAATCTTATCTGTTAGAAGTTGATGTTATCCTTTTCAGTCATCGTTCGACTATAATGGCGAACATTTAATTAATATTGATGAATTCAGAATGGAAAATTAAAAAAAGCATTTACGACCAATAATGTTGCATTGTTTTAAAAAAGTTCTACAAGTGTTGAGCTAGTTCGTAATTGGTTTACGATGTTCAGTGGTGATAATTTTAATGTCATGAAGATAAAGACCGTAACGGTTGCCCATTCTCTACATAGACAGACCTTATCAAAGCCATGATCGATGATAATCCCCGATATACTGTTCATGACTTGGCTGACGTTCTAAACATTCACAAAACAACAGCACACAATCATTTTAGAAAGCTCGGCTACGTCGAATAGGCGAGACGTTGTTTTCTAGTTGGACAAAGACAGGCTCTAAGTTTCTTTAGCCGTTAGTACCAAATTTTTAATGTTTCACGGGGACGTTCATTTGCCGTACTCTCCAGGTATTGTCCCATGTGATTCATTTCATTAAAAGATTCTCTTCATGTTAGAGGTAAATAATATAAAAATGCATTTAGAACGATATTCTGCTAGCAAACCAAACAATTTTTTGAAAGATTGCATTAGGCTGCTCCAGGCTGTTCCTGATCGTTTACAATTCAGTAATGCAATATAAAACATAAAATATTGTCTATGTACCTATTAATAAAACGAAAGAAACTTTTGGGATACCTTAATATTAAGTATAAAGGAGTTATTAATAATATTTAACATTTTGACTGCCAAAGAAATATTCTTGAAAATTTCTGCTAGAATTAAATATTATTCAGACTATTGGAGACTACACGATCAAACATCTATCGTGGTATTTATTTTTGAAACTTCATCAAAATACATGAATTTCGTTTAAATTCATTTCCTTTGATGCTTAACTTTCAGGATTAATATTTTTAGTTATTCAATGAAAAGCACTGTCACGCACATATGGGTGATGTGGCGATCAACGTGTTAATTAATAGAATAATTATTTCAGTTTTCCTATAATTTTATCATGGACTGTATTGTTAATTACCTTCTGTAATATACTGGATACGTCATCGTAACTGATCCACTGATCACCCTTGGTAATGTAAGGTCCGACCCGACCGCCCGGATTTTCAGTCACAGACCACCGTTTGTTCTTCGCGTTATCGCATATCTGGAAGATTAGAAGTCTTCCATTCACAGTGTTCTCTGAATAGCTATTTGTTTATCGATAGACGACGTGTATAGATACCTCGTAATAGGCAAGTAGACCAGCCGATTTCGTGAATTCTCCTGGACGACCAGGCCCGGAAGTTTGTACATTAAACCCTGGAATCTCCTTAGTCTGTGGTTTTTCCGACAACGTGAAACTTTGTCCATAAGCTGGTATACCCATCACGAGCTTGCTGGATGGCACACCTCGCTCTAGCCAATAAATTATAGAGAAGTTGGCATTCAATTGATTCATTTCCTCTTTCGAATTAGGATACAGCGGAGCCACGTGACCGGTTTTGCCATCCCAGAAGCCATGATAATCGTAGCTCATCACGTTTATCCAGTCCAAGTAATTCGTTAAAGCTGAGGCATCGTATGCAACGTCTATGACATCCTTGCTCGCTGAAACAGCGGCCGAAAGGAGCAACCCTTTCGGATGAAACGCCGCGTTTAGTTCCTTCAGCAAGAGTGCGAAGGCTTCTCGGTCGCTTGGTGGTCCACGGCTACAGTTAACCTGCAAGTCATGCAAGAGTCTTTAGCAATCTATTAGGATATACAGACGGACAATTAGTATTTATGTAATTTGCTGTATACTTTACTTTTTAATATTTTTGTTTTATGCCACAGTGGCGTCAGGGGATTTACAAATAGAACTTTACGAGGTAGTAATTTGAAAGAAACGTAGGGACAATTCTGGGACATATAGAGGAGGAAATGTTCAGTATAGTATAGACATTTGAGTCGTATAAATACAAAGATGAGTTTAAAAATGTATTGGGTTCAATAGAAGAAATAAGGAAGGCTGTTTGGGCTGTATTTTATCATGATCTGTCGAGGAATCGGTAATCGGTATTATTCGTGACGAACAATCCTTCGTCGCGAGTAATAACGAGGTAATGACTGCGATCTTGTAAAGTGTAAAGTGAAATTAGATTTAGATTAGTCAAGCGAACGATACGCGGCTACCGGATGAAATACTATGTGCTCGAGATTTAGACCTCCTTCGAGGTGCATTTACCGTATAGAAATTTGTGCACTTAAGGAGATATCACTGTAGTAACAAAAAATGTTCCGTTAAAATTGGCTCTTAGTGCGTCACAAACCAATGAAGAGGTTTTCTGGAAAAAAAAAATGTCCTGTCGCAGTAAGTAATTAAGTATGGTGTAGCAGGTGGTGGTTCGCGATTAATTAGTCGTGATATATCTTGCCACTTGATTTTCAATCTCTCCAACTCCTGCGTGTGCGCGAAGTCCGTACATTTTTTTTTAAATAAATTACGGAGGTAACAATGAAGACATAGGATCAGCAAATGAAAATTATTTCAGCTAAAAATATGTTTTTAACCATGTTTTCTTTTGCAATTGTATCTTTATCTAAGAAAGTGAAAAAAGAATATGAATATAGTCCCATTTATTCAAAATGACTCTCCCCTTAATAAATTTTAAAGTTACAGAAATTTAGGCACCGAATTAGTTTGTACACTTAGTACATTGTCAGCAAAGCATTACCTGCTGCCACGCACAGTATTACCGACCGAAGTAGTTAGAGAAGTAACTTACCGACCGCATGTTCTACATTATCGAATGACGGATTACGGATTACGTATTTACCTGCCAGCATACTGGGTATTCCCAGATAATATCCAAGCCGTCGAATCCATGACTCTCGATATAACGCGTAGCGTGACGCGCAAATCTTTGTCGTTCGATCGAGCTATGCGCCAATCTACTGAATTTGTCATCTTTAGATTCCTCCCAGCCTCCTAGACCCAGGAGAAGCTTTAATCCAGTCTTGCTTTTAATGGTCGTTATTCGCTCGAGAAACTCTTTCTGTCTGCTACTCTGGGGATTCTGTATCCTGAGCAGTTCCGAGTCCAACGTAGCTAGGCCGTAAACAATGTGCGTGCATAAATCCAGGTCGATGTCTTCTGGCATAAATCGGCCATCTCTGGGTCGTTTTCGCGACCATTTCATTAGGTAGCAAATTACTTTCTTCTTATTGTCATTTTTTTGGTTGGCGATCATAGGCAGGAATTCGTTTGACTGTGAATTGAAATACATCACCGATGTTATTCTAATGTTATAAATGCTTTTCTTATAGTAGAGACTGTGGCCTAAAAATGGTCTCGGAATCTAAATGCAGACTACTTGCTGAAAATAGGGTAAGTGGGGTTGTGCGCAGTCGCGAGAATGGCACCAAATGAAACAGCAAAAAGTGGGGGAAGAGTGGTAAGCATGTGACTTGGCCCAGGGCCTCCAAGCTCTACTCTTGTGAACTTGAAGTCTATTTTAATTCGTGCTCGGCGCCACCGGCGGCGCCAGTGTCACTCCATTACGTACTATTGAGTTCATATTCTGTATAAGTTTATTCTATCCTGTATGCGCCCGGCAATAACTTGTTTATATGTTTTCATTTTGTAAGTAAATATGTATGCACGTGTGTGAGTACGTGGAGTATAATGTATAAAATGCGTGTGAGTTGAGTTTATTGTATAGATTTTATATAAATATATACGAGATATAACCATTTAAAGACATCGAGAATCATGGTCCTTCGTCTAAGGTCGTGAGTAATCACGTTCTTAGGCGCAGAGCTACGATTCTCGCTGACTTCAAATGTTTATACTTTATTATAATTGTGTATATAATTTACGAGAAAGATTGTAACGGAATCTGTTAATCTTTGTACATACAAATATAAATAAATAATAAACTATATAATGTACATAAGGAAGAACTTTTGCTTTACAATTTGCTATTACATCATTTACAAATAGCATCTTCCTTTTCTTTCCCCACTTTTTCTTTCAACACATTCCTGATCCTCCTTTTTTTCCTTCCATTAATTTTTTATACAGATTAATTTTAAAGCAAGTATAAATATACATGTGTACGACTATGCTGTTGTGTGTATGTGTCTCACTGATTATATGGTAATAACGACACTGGCGCCGCAGGTCGCGCGGGTATGTTCTTTTCTAAAGACATATCGTAGATTCATAATATCATAGGTTAACAAAATTATGTGCAGTCTTGTTTTTTTTCCTTTGGCAGATCTTTTTCTCCAACGAGAAGAAAAGACTTATCGATATCAAAAATTAAGCAAGAACAGCTTGGAAATAAATAAATTTTTGTGGCAATGTTCATGAGTGTCAGAAAACAAATTACGATATCGGCTCTCTAAAATGAACGTGTAAAACAGTAAACCTGAAAAATCGAATAAGCAACGAAGTGTTAAAAGTAATCCCATTTAACGGTAACTGAAATATCAAACATTCACCTGTCGCTGAAGCTCCTTGCACCGAGTATTCTCCGGCCAATCGCAGCGATTCTCGTTCCAATAAAGACCAGACGGGCAAGAGTACTCGGTTAGTCTACCAAAATTGCACAAGAAATATTTGGAGCAATCCTTCTTGTGCGGAACAAATAAACGGCCATGGCAGTCTTCTGGCGGAGCCAACGCCGGTGGATCGACAGCCACTACCTCGATGGTGTCATCGATGTCAACGGCTGAAGTCGTAGACGATGACGTTGCCGGAAAAGAAGTTGGCTTAGAAGGAGTGATAGGCTCCCAACTGGATTGCTCGGAAGTCGCAGGCTCCCAATCGGGTCGCTGTGATGTTGTAGGTTCCCAATTGGGACGCTGAGAAGTCGTTGGCTCCCAACTCGGTTGCTGAGAAGTCGGTGGCTGTGTGTTGATTTCAGCAGCGTCGATCGTCGTAAATTCTAATCGAAATACCAGCAGTCTCAATTTAGATACTTGAAATCAGGGATACTGTACGTGAAATTAATTTTTAAAATGTCCATGAAAAATACCAGTCGTTATTGGACACAATGGTCTGTCGGGGTAGTTTCTCAGAACTCTGTTCATAGTCCTCAGAAGAGGACTTGGTTCGCAGCCGCACTTGTTTTTGAAGTCGTCTAAATCGAGGGCCCACACCATGCCACCAGCCAGACCGATGTCCTTTATTAATTCCGCTTTGAGCTTCATTTGTTTCGCATCATCGAAACTTACCCATTGGTCACCTTTGTAGGCATATGGGCCGATGCGTCTCTCTTTATCTTGAACCACCGTCCAGCCTTTTGTTAAGGTCCTCTCACATATCTGTAACGGTTAGAAAGCATGAGGAATAGGGAATATGATGGAATATAATATTCCATTTAATATAAATATTAAATGGAAATTTTTCATTATATTATTATTAAAATTGTAACGAAACGTTCGTTACGAGTACGGAGTTCTAGTACAGAGCCGAGTACGCGCTCCGACCGCTAGGTGACGACCGCAGGGTGACGGCGCTCGCAAGCGAAAACGCAAGATAACGCCAATCCCCATAAAAAACTTCAAAAAAGTAAAAAAATTACGACAAGTACATGAAAAAGTGGAGGACTCAAGGAGTTATCATAGAAAAATAAAAGATCCCCATAAAAAAGTACAAGAAAGTAGAAAAAGATGTGAAATCAAAATGAGCTGCCAGAACATGAAAGACCTTTTCAATAAAGTGCAAAGGCGACACTGTGTAACACAATGTATAATTCGGTGGTTTCCAACTATGCGCAGCTAAAATGCTGTGTTCAACAGTGCGGACGTTCAAATCCAGGCAAGGTCGTGTCGATGAATAAGAATTATTTTAAAACGCAAAATAATGAAAGTGTACTTATATTGTCAGAGTTTTAAACTGACAAATTATCTGAAAGCTTGCGAGAGAAAAGGTATCGGTGTCGATGAATGACCTTAGAAATAATTTGAAACGCAATACAATGGAAATGTACTTATATCGTAAGAGTTTTAAATTGACAAATTATGTAAAAGCCTGCGAGAGAGAAAGTATGGGTCATGATGATCTGAGAATGCTTTGCCTGGCCACGCCAAGCATTTGACTTCCAGGCCGTGGACATCAAGGCAAATTTTTAAACAGCCGCAATTTGTGGATGATACGCTATTTAGCTTCTTCATGTCACCTTCATGTCACGAAGGTCTTGTTGCAAGAAATTTAAATGTTACTGATAAAGTAATTACAATAATATAGAAAATG